GGTATGTGAGATAATTATAATTGCTTGAACTAAAAAATGCTGCTTTATGTTTTGCGTCAGCTGATAGAGTTTTGCGCAAATAACTTTTCCTTGTGCATCGTGCAACTTAAGGAATAGCTCTTCATCCCAGAGCGAACACTAGAAGTTCTCTTACGTTTAACGAAAGTCGGCTTATTTTTATAGAAATGACAGGAGAGTACATCGAGGCAAATGCGACCCGACAGGAATTTTTATTGGTTTCTCCAAGCCGCCAAATTATAGTTTCGTGCCTTGTCCGTCGGTTTACTGAGGCGTCTTTTTGCAGCGGCAGTTCCTCCTCTTCTATGATACGGCCCACGAAAACTTCGGTGTATAAATATCCATCATCTCAAAGGGCAATTAAGTTTTAAATACCGCTCAAAGTCTATTCGGATCTCTGTCATCATGCACACAATAGATCTGACTGAAGGTAAGCATTTCGTCATGCGTAGCATATTTTTCGGAAATAGCGCATGCGAGTTTAGCTTAGTTTCTATTACATTCAATTTTTGCTTGCTAGTTCGGCTAAAATGGCGCGGAGCAATACATCTAGTTGCTTATTCGTTGGATGATTACGTATAAACAGACAAATATCTGATGGGAGAAATAATCAGTTTAGCTCAGTTTTATTAAGGTAAAATAGGCGAATGTATTTGAGTTCCCTACTGGTAAAAAGTGACTAGGAAATGTATCCATACAGAAGAAGAAATAAAAAGACGTCATTTCCATAAGCATGAAAATACCTTATCTTTGTATTAACCAATTACATGATTACCGCGTTTATTACTGCTATGGACATTATTAATAGCAAGCATATTCCTTAGTAGAAATAGTGCTGAAAATTCGATTCCGGGGTAGTTAATCAGAAGAAAGAGGAACGTTCACCAGGAGAGGTTTATTAAAAGGCTTGTAATAAACTTCTCCCGGTGAACGCTCCTCTTTTGATATTACTTAGTATATTATAAGTTTTACTTCCCCGATCACTAACATTGTTGCTACTTCTGAGAATGTCATGATTACGCCTTCTACTTATGAGTTTAAAACATGTAGATGTAATAGAGTTAAGTCCTTCCATTTGTAATTCCCTAATTATTAATATGAATATTATTACCATACGTGTTCCTACTATTATTACTCCTGACTTGTCGTCTGCTAATAGTTTCTATTCACTTTTGAATACCAGTAAAACTGTAATTTACCTATTAGTTACAATTTTTACGTTATAGCCCCCATCACATCCAGTGCTGCTGATATTTATTATTCCGGTGTGATGTCGCTGTTGTTAGCTTAAATTCCATTATACATACAGCTATAAATTGTTTGGATACGATTTCTGTCACAACAAAATCAGATGCCGAGATAAGTATTTTCTATACAACTCTATCGAAGTTTCTTGTTGATAATTCTGACTCTAGATAACGTCATGTTAAAGTGGCACTATTACTACTATGAATACCATCACTACGTGTGTACAAATAGTACTACTTCAGCCAATACGGTAATCAGTGCTGCTAACACTAGTAATTCCAATAGCATATCTGATGCTAAACGATTAGTAATAAGAAATTGTATTACTGCACTTTCTATTTCTTTGTATACCTATAATAAGCATGTTAACGAAATTTTTCATATTGCTGCTATTGTTGTTGTCCATTGCATTAATACCAGTCAGTGTTGGCTATATCATGGTATTGTTTCTTACAATTACATCCTTAAGCCCTTATACAATTAGTACTGGTGCTAATCTCACCATTATTAGTAGAATAGTATTACCACCTTTTCACCTCGCGTTATCACAAGCGTACGTAATCTATCGTTCCCAATACCACTACTAGTGTACGCAAAGTATCACCAACCGAATATTCATTTCTTCAAAAGAGGACTGATTTTTCTGCTCTTTCGAGCAACAGAGCCTAGAGGGTGGTACGGGCAGATCTTACCCTGCAACAAAAATGGCTGCTCAAAACGTAAAAAATATAGCCGTCCAGACGGATGCTCCGCCCTCTATTCACATGCAACTTGACAGTCAATTGGCTTACCCCCCAGTGGTATTCGACAGAAACAAATACTCACTTGTGACAACACTAGCACAATTTCTGATGATTGACTCCTGTACGAGTGAAGCTGTATATTGGCTGGGCTATTCTTCGTTTTTTTTGGCCCTTCCCGCTTGACCTCTGTTTTTTGCAGAGTATTTGTTTGGTTTAAAAATGTTGGTTTATCAAGTATGGATGAGCCTCTTACCTGCTGATCTCAAAAAAAAGTTTTGCGGAACGCTTAGAAGCACTCAGACATTTCGGGTCATTCAAGTAGTACTTTTTAAATCCACGGAAATGAATGACGACGCCGCCATCCTTGAGCCGTTTCAGGACGTGCTTGTAGTTGGAGCGGCTTCAGCCCGGTGCCCTAGATATCACAAAAGAGTTACTTCGTCACAACCGACCAGAACCACCACTGTCTCAGAAAGTGTACTACGACGAGTTACGCGTTCCTTAGCACACCGATCGTGATTCAATGGAAACAGTGAGCTAAGATGATTGGGGATGGGTGCGGACGCACTAACTTCCGGGCCTAAAATCACCCTTACGCGTGCCACACAAGCGTTTGATTTCAATACCCTGCGAAACTGTCCTGAACGGAGGACTCCCATATAACTAAGTTCTCTGATATCCTATAAGATTATAGTGGCGAATGATGAATTTAGATTCCGGGCCTGCTAGTAAAAATGCTAACAAAAAGTATGTAATGTGGTTTCATTTTGAAAAAAAATACTTCAGTAGGGTTGTAATGTCAAGTATCTTATAGCCAAATTCAAAGCTATTCCAATCAGGTCAGCATGCTGGCATTTGAAAGAGCTCCCTTTAAGCTACCTGCAAAAAGTACACTATAAAAAGTAGCTTCTTAGGTAGGATGCATTTTTACGTTTTATTGTTATCGAAAAGATGCAGGCAAATATTCTTTCTTGAGCTTGTTTGGTAGTAACATAGGCTTTCTTAAAACTTTATGCTTGCAAAAGGGCATCTTTCTGCTTTAAAATACGTGCAATTACCGAAGCCTTTTGATATCGAACAGAAGTTATACTTGCGTAATTATTTCCCATTCTGACAACACATGTAAAGCTAAAAGCCAAAAAACGTGTTTGGTTAGTATGCTGCGGCTGCATGGCACAGCTGCGAGGAGTTCGGCTCATTGATGGGTCGCCTAACATTCCTTGTGTGCTTTCTGATAGACCCTCCAGTTGTTGTCATCTTGTGATTAGTACGCGGTTATTCCACAGTGGCTAACGAGCGTTCATCCAAATATTCATGTCAAATGTCGGTCTGCGCCTGAGTATACTGACCTACTCCGATAAAGAAATTAATTTCTGTGGAAATTAAAAGTGTACAGTTAAATGCAATCAGGATTCCCAAACTGCATGCTCTATACATTCCGTCTAAAGAAAATCACATAATTCTCTACGCTGTTTGAAAGAAGGCGTAATTGGCTACCAATACGTAGTATCTTCGGACAGGTTGTCTATAAGACGTGTTGGAATTTATAAGAATGTCGATAAGCAATTAGCAAATGCCTTTTAATTAAGTAATTATTATTTACGGAGGATAGGTGTTGCAGCTGACTAAAAATAAACCTGTTCAGAAGCCAGCATCCTGTCATGATTGCATTATCTTGGGATTAGGCTGTGAGATAATTAATATTACAACCCTACTCAAGTTTTTCCTAATGCAAAACACACTTCAGAGTTTCGGTTGACATTTTGTGAGACAAACAAGCTGTTGTATGTTTATTTTACTTAATTAACCCCGTAATTAATGTGGAAAGTTTGATGTTAATTTATCGCCACACACAGTTTCAGGCTCAGCCTCAGTGTCATGATAGATTTGCGCGCAAGCATTTCTATCGACACCGAGGCTGAGCCTGCAACTGTGTGTGGCGATAAATTTGCATCAAACTTTCCACATTAATTACGGGGTTAATTAAGTAAGCTAAACCTACAACAGCTTGCTTGTCTCACAAAATGTCAACCGAAATTCTGAACTGCAATCTGCAGATTGTTTGAAAAGGTCTGTTCTAGAGGATGTGCTCTCTGTTCGTGTATTGCCTTCTGAGACAATTAAGAAGCAGATGCATGTGAGGGTCGCCGGGGACCCACTAATAAACCGAACCCCACATAGCTGCGTGACGCAACAGTACATATCGGCAAAAAGGTACTCGGGCGTTTAGCTGATTCTCGTGAATCAAGATGATTTATGTTTCTTTCAATAAAACGGAAGTAGAACTAAGCTGATGTAGTAGCGGCACTCTGAATATTATAGGGCATAATTTTCCTACAGAAAGACTATTTTAAATGTGTAGTAATTTTCGGGGGATCGAAGTAACAATTTGGTAGGTTGTTGAAACCTCCCTCCCCACCACGCAGCCTAGTATTTGCCCTTATTTTCCCTTTACTGAGCGCAAAAAAGGTGAGGCACAGGTAACAGAAATCACAACGGTCTCAGAACCTATCCATTAGCATAGCTTTCTGGTTAAACGGGTAGGCAGTCGCGGACACCGCAGCCATAATACATTCCGATTTGGCACAGCGGTGTTGTGAGATTAGGAGTGTTGACTGCTATCAAATATTAGCCTTAGCCGCCGTCATTCGTCACAATAAATTGGCATACAGCAAAATCAGCAAAACTTCACACCACTCCCATTGTTTAGCTAGCCACAGCTTAACCCGGTTTTTGGACGCCTATGAGGGCCACGCTCCGCGTGATCTGCCTGGACTCGTTTGAGGCCATAGCCGCCGAGAATGGTCAGTTCAACAACAAAGTAGAAAAGAACTTTAATTTTCCGCCAGGACCCATTTTTAGGGAAAATCTGTTTGTCCGGCTCAGTCGGCGTGGAGGATTGCAGCCAAGTTGCATTGTCGGAGTCGCCGATGCTCCTTTTATGACCCGAGACGGCTTCAAAATCGTCCGGTGTCGATAAGACACACATAGAACAGGCGAAAATTTTAGCAGACTTTAAAATCCACAAGTGGCCCTCTCTCCTGCTGTTTTCCCCACTTCGACAGACACAAGGCGTTGAACACGTCTGCACACAGTTCAAAAGGTTACCCTGTCTCGGCAATTCTTTCGCATCTGAATAAAGGTTAGTTAGATGTTGATGTATCGGCAAATTCGGTTTCAGGCTCGGCCCGAGTGTCGATATGAATGCTTGCACTGAAGCCTATAAGACTGCTTGAAAAGTTTTCTTCTGAATGGTTTACTCAGGGTTTGTACATTCATTTTC